TACATGTTGAAGATAGGGAAATTGCCATAGTTTAGAGCCGCCTGAAGGGCAGCCTTGAGATAAATGATCATGTAAATGTGTGCTACTATGATCATCATCATGTTATTTATCCAAATCCAGGGCCAATTAATGGATAACTTGTCACGTTTTCCAGTAGTGATGCGCTAACTTTCGTGGTTCTTGCAGCCAATAAGGGTGTTTCATAGTGTGATTCAGCCGCATTATCGACCTTAATGCCATAAACCGCCACGGAAAATACGATTTGCAGCTTCCTGGCGTGATAGCTGCCAGTAGGGCTCCGGAGTCATGAAGTCGGTCGGAATTGACAGTTCTGACCTGAGTCGTCGAGTCAGAGTCAGAGTCGATTTTAAAAGCTGGAATCTGAGTCAGTCACCGAAATTCGATCCCCTCCGCAGACCTTTCAGGGTTCCGTAGTCGGAGTTGTAGTCGGTCGGAGTCGACAGTTCTGACCTGAGTCGTCGAGTCAGAGTCAGAGTCGATTTTTAAAGCTGGAGTCTGAGTCAGTCACCGAAATTCGATCCCCTCCGCAGACCTTTCAGGGTTCCGTAGTCGGAGTTGTAGTCGATCGGAGTCGACAGTTCTGACCGGAGTCAGAGTCAGAGTCGATTTTGAAAGCCAGAGTCGGAGTCGGAGTCACCAAAAATCCATTGGCTCCGCAGACCTGCTAGGGCTGTGAAGTGTGGAGTCGGAGTCGGTCAGAGCCGACATTTGAAATCAAAGTCAGTTGATTTTTGAAAGTCTGAGTCAGAGTCGGAGTCATCAAGAAACCCATTGACGATCCGCAGTACCATGCAGTAAGGGCGCTGCCGATCGATGCCCTGAATTGCCTATGAATTGAATGAATAGATGACAATTAATTAGGTAGGTACCTTCTATTATTCATCCCCTGCCACTTGGAGGACTTACTTTCAATAGAAAAAACGCATTATTGTTTGTTTGTTTATTTATTGACTTTTTAAGTATTTTATAGGGATACAGACACAAAACACAATGATAGCACCTCGCTGGTGCAAATCATTGCTAGATAGATGTTGAAATGTGTTGCCATTGAAGAATCTACTGATTTTCCTGGCGGCTCTCATTTTCAAGTAACTACTGGTCTTGTAAGATCTCTTGATTGCTCACCGTCTGGCGTCTTTCAAGGTTTTCTGAAAGCTAATCAAACGTTACCATGGCTGCTCTTGATTGCATGGCGCTTGCTGGTTCTGGGTTCTTAATTGGTGGTTCTTGCGTCTGATCCTGTTGCTTCATGTTCCATCACATCACATTAAACTTCTAATCTAATGGAACAGCCACTTTTACCTTTTATTTCACTATCAGTCGACTTGCATTTACCCCTGGCCTGCTCGCCCTTTTATTTCCACGCTAGAATCTACCAATTATTGAAAAAGCCTCGGATGAAGAAGCAAGAAAAGTATGTCAAGTTAAATAATTGAGACGGTCCTAGAACACCAGAAAAAAAAAAAATCCAAAAGCCTGTCCATCTCACTTCCCTCATTTCATAACAAAAACCAGGCAGCAAAACATGCGAAAGAGTCCTTAGCAACGCCCTAGCAACGTATTTGTCTGAAGTGCGCGATATGTCACATCTGGAAAATTTAGTAGGTACTTGATTATTCAACTAGAGTTGGACTATATAAGCTAGGCTTTTATATAAAAAATAAGTATTAGCTTATTGAATTTATAGCAACTGGTCGCTTAGCTTCGTAATAATGATTGACTACAGAAAAAGCTTGTTTGCGACATATTTGTAAAGAAACAGCGGAAATAGCTTCGACTCGTGCGCTTTTCTAGTACATTTTTGCTAGAAAACTTCGTCCAACCTTATGTTTTAGGGCCTTGGGTTGAGCTAACCATCTGGTGTGTATGTGTGCTGGTATTGTCTGTATCTATGTTTCTTGTATTATCTTGACTATGATGTATGCGAGTGTGATTGTGATGCTTGTCTCTCTTTATCTTGACTTTGAAACCACCGTTTTAATTTTTGACGAGAGGATGTAATAGCCGCTTTTAGTGGATTTCCTTAATACACGTCTGAGTCTGAGTCTGAGTCTTCAGTGTGGGGTCGTCACAGTCGGGTGTGGGACCCTTAGAGTTGCTGGCTCGAACCCTTCACAGGCCGACAGGGGCTCTCAGAGACCGACAAGGGGCTCTCAAGAGGTCTGCGGTGCCTTCCGGAGCCCTGTGGAGTCCTTAGAGCGCCCAGCAAGGTGCACTCAAACGCCAGTGGGGCCCTCAGAGTCGTCGGTGTGGGGCCCTCAGAGTCGTCGGTGTGGGGCCCTCAAAAGTCACCGGTGAGTGGCCGTCCGATGCGCAGGTCCCGTCTGAGGCCGTCAGAGGCTCCAGCGTTGAGCCCTCAGAGCCGCCGATATATGGCCTTAAGAAGCACTGGTTTCGGGACCTCATTCAGGGGCAGATTTGTATACGACTCAATCAATAGCAATCAATTCAATCACGATAAATTTGGGAAACCAATCAAATCAATCAAGTCAGAGCAGTTTTCGGGAATTGATTCAATCGACTCAAACGCGACAATGAAAGGAATCAATCAACTCAATCATAGATAACAGTAGAGTAGAACTACTGTTATCTATGTTCTACTGTTATCTATGACTCAATCAAACGACTCAAACCAAGATAAACATTAGGTTTTTTGCCCCACCAACTTGGAAAAGTGTCCATAGCAGTCTGGTGTACCTACCTACCTACCTACCTACCTACAGAAGAAACATAAAAATATTGTCATTTAAAATTATAAATTGCCATGCCATTCAAAGTTTCTATGTAATAAGGAAGGATACCTAGTGATGGACAGGTGGATCATGATATTGAGTTTCACCTAAAAGTTGTCAATTTAATTTTGGCCATATTCCAACTCAATTTACACTAAATATCAGATATTGCAGTTGAAAGTTAGCTGCTCGGATTTTGGCAGTGTTCGTGATTTGGCCATTTACCCTACACCATGTCTATTTTAATGGATAATATGCATCAATAACATATTAACCATAGGGAAATAGAAATAATAAATATCTTACCTGCATGTGACGGTTTCGGTTAGACAGAGACTGACGGGCAGCCTGAAAAAATCTTTCCACACAATGTGCATTTGAGAAGTGGGATGTTGTCAGATTGGGAAGGAAGAGATTTGAAGTATTTAGCGGTCCACGACTCTGGACGTGGCATGTCAATGTTAGGTACCTATGTGAAGAATTCAAAACATTTTATTGCAATACAATTTGAAACTGTTAGGACTGGGGGATAGGGATGAGGATTAAAAATATATTTAAAAGGAAATGGAGAGGACAGGGACTCTGGAACCACAGGATAAGATAAGGACAAAGGAAGCAGGAACAAAGAAAATTAAAACGCGAAGACGGCACGGTGCGACTGCGAATAAAAGAAAACGTTTTGCCAATAAGTATGCTAAGCTTTTATAAATCCTTATTCTACGTGTTTTGATTTTTTTTGGTAAGATGACGTCATTGATTATCATGTACTATGGTAGATCATCATAAAATAAATCGGTTGTACAACACCAATTTCGTTTTAATTATTATTTCATTTGAAATAAAACCACTTAATAATATTCGGTAAAATATTTTAAGGAAAATGAAATATATTAAATATGTTATGCTTAGGCTCTCAGGAGAAAAGGATCAACAAACGTTCTGCTGCAATTTAAACAACGCAGCAAATTAGCTATTAATTGGTATACGTAAACGTAATTAGCGAGACGAAAACGGCGCTTTTGTTTCAGTTATTTTTGTAGGGGTTTCAGATATTTATAGAGTTCAGTGGGTTGTTTCTGAGGAGATGTGGAGGACGCCGGTGAAAACAGGGCGCCGGAGGGCAAATTAGTCACGTGACATTTGGAACTTCTCCCCCTTTGTGGGCCTTCTAAAAGCTAAATGTCACGTGTGAATTTCACGAACCTTGATCAAATCGCCCCAGGCGCCCTGTTTTCACCGTCGTCCGATGTGGAGATGTGAATTATTAATTAATCACACTTTATTAGTATATAGGGCCTTGCACTTTATCATCTGGATTAAAAAAAAAAAACGTTTCCTGCTGAGTGCAGAAAGGTAGGTAGGTGCATCGCCAGGTTCTATCACCAGGATTGGAGCAGTTATGAGTTATTGCAGTTGAAAGTCAAAGTTGGCTGTTCATGTTTAGGCCCTGTTCTTTATTTGGCCATCTACCCCATATTGCAGTTGTGATGACAATTGACAAGCAGTTTTCAGTGTAGTTTTGTGATCTTTGATGTCATCAATTGGTGTCATTATTTTTCATCAACTAAAACTTATTTGAACTTTCCATTCAATCGACTCAATCATACGAGTCACTCTAATTTTCGGGAATCAAATCAGTCAACCAGTCGCTAAAGTCAAACGAGTCAGTCAACCAGTCATCTCGAAAAGTCAATCGACTCAACCCAATCAACTCAAAATACGTGTTGAAACAAATCAATCAATTCAATCGACTTGATTGGTATACAACCCTGTTCAGGGGTGCCGGTTGCACTCAGAGGTGACAGTGTGGGGCTCTCAGCTAGGCACCGGTGTGGGGCCTTCACAACCGCCGGTGAGGGCCCTCGCAGGCGCCGTTGTGGGGGCCTTCAACCATGGGTCATCGCAGGCGTGTGTGGAACCCTTAGAAGCTGCTGGTCCCTGATATGCCGGTAAGGGCCCTCAGAGGCCGGCAAGTAGCCCTCAGAGGTCGCCAATAGGCCCTGAGAAGCCGGCAAGGGCCATCAAAGGCCGGCAAGGGACACTAAAAAGCCGGTGTGGGGCTCTTATAGAGAGAAGTGTGGCTCTTCGGAGCACATAAGATGTTCTTCCGAGCCCTGTGGAGCCCTTCTGAATCGAAAGATGCCAGCGGGGACCCTCAGCCGCCAATTGGCGTCGCAAGGCCCCTCGGGCCCGAGGCCCCCTAATCCGATAGGAGCACGTGCCCCCTGCCCCCCGGGTGCAGATTGTAGCGTTCTGTTATTGTCGGGTTCTGTTAGTGTTCCGTTATTGGTGCCTGTCGGCCCAGTGTGGCCTGACCGTGCCCGGGGGCGATATGAGCGCGATCCCACTGACCCGGTCTGAGAGAATAAACCAGTCGGGCCCGAGCCGAGCCAGCGTGTGGAGTGCGTGCGGGAGCGAAGCGGAACATCACATTGGCGACGAGGCTTCGGACTCAGCCTCAGCAAGTATGGTGCATGGTGATCTGGGAACGTTCTCAGTTGATAAGGAGCCAATCGTAAGTTACTTGGACAGATTTGGATTTTACTGTGTTGCCAACGGAGTAACGGGAGAGGAGCAGAGGAAAGCTGTTTTTCTGTCGATCATTGGCCATGAAACGTACGATAAGCTCCGTGATCTACTACATCCTGTATCGGTGCAGGCTGCCTCATTATCAGAGATAACAGAGAAACTCAGAACATTTCTCACCGCAGCATGTGGAGATTGCAGAGAGGTACAAATTTTTCAAGTGTGTGCAACAACCAGGCCAGAGTGTTATAGATTACATGGCACAACTCAGGAGCAAGGCGAAAGATTGTAATTTTGGACTTTATCTGGAAACGGCACTCCGGGACCAGCTAGTCTGTGGTTTAAGCAATGAGAAATGTCAGCAGGATTTGCTTAGCAGGGCCGACCTCACCTTGACAACAGCTGTTCAGCATGCACGTGCTTCCGAGACGATTCTTCGGGAAGCCGGCTGTTTCGGCGAGGCTTCGGCGTCTGACGGCACCGGCGCCGTGCACCGCGCTTCGACGGGGAGCGGAATGAGTGGCGTCAGACATCGGCCCGCTCCAGGAGGTAGGAGCACCAATGCGGCCCCGAGATCAGCTTCGGTCAACAGTTCAGGCAAGTCCGCGGAGGAGTGCTGGAGATGCGGCAATAACCATCTCGGCGAGTGCCGTTTTCGTACTTATCGCTGCCGGGTTTGTCATCAGATAGGACATCTCGCCCGTAAATGCCGCCTGTCTGGCGGTTCTAGGGTGCATTTGCAGGATGCGGGAGCCGCTGACCGGGGACAAGGAGGTCGGGAAGAGGAGCAGGACATCAGCTACACGAACGTCGCCGACCAAGGTCTACCAGTATACATCGTGAACCGTGGCCAGGTCAGTCCGCCCCCCATCTGGTGCCCCGTCAGCATCGGAGGGCTAACCGTTAACATGGAATTGGACACCGGGGCGGGGGTTACGTTAATAGATGAATTAACGTATAAGCGGATGCGTGACCGCCCCAAGCTGACTGTGTGTCCCGTCAAACTGCGATCGTACACTGGGGAGCTGATTCCCGTGCTGGGCGAGTTTGTCACTGACGTCGTCTACCATGGTGCTTCTCACAATCTCACAGCCGGCTGCCGGTGATCGTCGTGAAGGGGTCGGCTCCATGTCTGCTGGGACGCAACTGGCTCGAGCGGATGAAGATCTGCTGGTCTGAAGTCCACAGATGCAGCCTGTCTTCGTCGCCATTGCAGCGACTCAAACGCAAGTACCCGACAGTGTTTAGCTCAGAGCTGGGTAAACTGAAAAATGTTAAAGTAAAGCTGGACATTGATGCAAACGTACCGCCAAAGTTTTGTAAAGCTCGTTCACTGCCGTTTGCTTACAAAGACAAGGTTGAAGCTCAGCTAGATGCTGACATTAAAAATGGAGTGTTGGTGCCCGTTCGTGACTCTCAGTGGGCCGCACCGATAGTGCCCGTGGTTCGTGCAGACGGTAAAATACGCGTCTGCGCTAACTTCAAGTGCACTGCTAATCGTGCTGTTCGGCTGGATAGATATCCTCTGCCCCGGATGGAAGATATGCTGGTAAAAATCGGGGCCAAACAAGTGTGGTCGAAAATTGATCTCGCGTCTGCGTACCAGCAATTAGAGATTCATGAGGACAGCCGTGAAATACTCACGATCAACACATCTCGTGGCCTTTTACAATACACTCGGCTTCCTTACGGGATTTCCTGCGCGGTGGGGGTTTTCCAACGAGAAATTGAGCGCATCTTGAGTGGCATTCCCAACTTGGTTGTCTACTTAGATGATGCTCTGATCGGCAGTAGCACGGAGGAGGAGCACTGGAACGTCTTGGAGCAGGTCTTCAGCCGTCTAGAAGCTGCCGGACTGAGGGTTCGAGAGAGCAAGTGTGAACTGTTCACCAGCAGCGTCCAGTACCTCGGTCACCGGATCAGCGGTCAAGGAATTCAACCACTTCTTGACAAGGTAAAGGCCATATCGGCTGCGCCTGCTCCGACGAACGCCACAGAGTTAAAGGCTTTTGTGGGGCTAGTTACTTACTACTCGAGGTTCATTGCGCACAGAGCTGAAATAATGTCCCCGCTGTATGATCTGCTTAGAAAAGACGCCGATTGGGTGTGGGGTCCTGAACATGACGCCAGTTTCAAGTCAGTCAAGAAACAACTTACGGACTCTGCCCTGCTGGTTCACTACGATCCACGCAAGCAGTTGGTTCTCACTTGTGACGCTTCAAGTAAGGGGATTTCTGCTATTTTGGCTCACCTGGAAGACGACGGGGTGGAAAGGCCGATTTCGTTCGCATCACGCAGACTATCACCGTCTGAAGCAAAGTACAGTCAAATAGAGCGAGAGGGTTTGGCTGTAATATTGGGCGTAACTCGACATCATCAGTACCTCTGTGGGCTTGCTAAGCCTTTCTTGTTAGTCACGGATCACAAGCCACTCATTAAGCTGTTCGGTGAGCACGAGTCGTTACCTGAAATGGCGTCCGCCCGAATTCGTCGCTGGGCTCTGAAGCTATCCAACTACAACTATCGTATTCAGTTTAAAGGCACGCATGAAATCGCTAATGCCGACTGTCTGAGTCGACTACCGTGTCCTGACGAGACTGTTCCCCGCCAGGAGGAGCTGGTTCTGCTGACCGAGCAGTGCATCCTGAACGCCGAGGCGGTGGCTGCGGAGACACGCAGAGATCCGGTCCTGTCGCAGGTTCTGCGCCTGGTGCAGCACGGCGGCTGGCCGGTGGAGTCTCCCGACTGGCTGAAGCCGTACGCAGCGCGTCGTCATGAGTTGTCCCAGACGGCGGGGGTACTTTTATGGGGGCATCGTGTTGTTATTCCCACAGTCGCCAGGAAGCGAGTTCTTGGAGAGCTCCATGTCGGCCACCCCGGCATCGTGAAGACAAAGGCTCTGGCTCGCAGCATAGTGTGGTGGCCGAAGATTGACGAGGACATCTCGACGGTCGTCCGCAGCTGTGCTCCGTGCCAGGAGAGTAGAGGAGCGCCGCCTCACTGTGAGTTGCACCAGTGGCCGTGGACCGGCAGGCCGTGGTCGAGAATTCACATCGATTTTGCAGAGCCGAAAAAAGGCAAATACGTTCTCGTGGTTATCGATAGTATGTCTAAATGGATTGAGGCTGAGGTAATGTACAGCACAGCCGCTCAGCCCACAATAGCGAAACTGCGCGCATTGTTCGCGAGGCACGGCCTGCCCGATGTTTGCTGTTCGGACAACCAGTCTACGTTTACTGGTGCCGACTTCCAAGATTTCATGAGAGAAAATGGCATTGTTCACATGACCATTGCTCCCCGTCACAGCAGAGGAAATGGGCTGGCGGAGAGGGCCGTCAAAGAGGTGAAACTGGCGCTGCAAAGGGAGGAAAAAGGGGGCAAATCATGGGAACATTGTCTAAGTCAATGGCTGTTTCGCTATCGCACAACGCCCCATTCAACTACATCAGTGTCGCCAGCTGAGTTAATGGTTGGACGCAAATTAAAGACCAGGCTTGACCTGCTGTACCCAAATCTCCACAGCACCGTTTTGAAAAGTCAGAATCGTCAGAAGCGCGACTTCGACAGAACTGCGACTGCTAGGCGTTTTGAGATCGGAGACCTGGTTTACGTTCGCAACTTTGGTCACGGGCCCCTGTGGTTACCTGGGTTCGTGATTGCTGTGGATGGTCCAGTGTCTTACGTAGTTCGTCTCTGTGACGGCAGGACCTGGCGGCGACACGGTGACCAGCTGCGGGCGAGAACCGAGGCTCAGCAGCTGCCACCGACCCAACAGTGGCCGGCTGCCCCGGCGGGCGGCGGTGGGCGGCGGGAGGCTGGACCATATCCGGAGTCTGGACGCTTGCCCGACCCGGAATACGTCACCGGGGACCCTCGTGGTGCTCGTCAGTCGCCGGCCCGTCTCGTGCCGCCGCTCGACCCGGCTGAGCCGGGCGCTGCGAGTGGGAGCGGACCGGATGCCGAGTCCGCCACCCTGGATCCGGACTCCAGCGCTCGTCAGCCGTCGCTCCGTCTTCCGGCGCCGTCAGGTTCTGCGACCGTGAGACGGGGCCCGTTGGCTCCCGCGAGTGCACCTGTAGTGACTGGATCCGGACCAGCGGCGCCGCCTACACCGGACAGACGGACGGCGGATCCGCTGAGGCGTTCCTGTAGGGTCAGGAAACCACCGGACTTCTTCCAAGCCGTGTTCCAAGCTGGTGTCTGATGTGTTAACCGAGGTGTTTGTTGTAAGGTGTTGTCCTTGTAAGAAAGGAAGGAGTGTAGCGTTCTGTTATTGTCGGGTTCTGTTAGTGTTCCGTTATTGGTGCCTGTCGGCCCAGTGTGGCCTGACCAGTGACCGTGCCCGGGGGCGATATGAGCGCGATCCCACTGACCCGGTCTGAGAGAATAAACCAGTCGGGCCCGAGCCGAGCCAGCGTGTGGAGTGCGTGCGGGAGCGAAGCGGAACATCACACAGATAGAAAATGCAATCGGCGGTGCGGGGCACAACCAAGGCTATAGAACTCCAGGTAAGGACACCAGCCGTTTGACCTTGAACGCCGCCGGCCGGCCGATGACGTCATTGGAGGCAAGCCGGCTCGGCGGACACACAAGGCGAATGCATAACGGAGGGGCGTTGGAACGTTGCGGGAGCCGGGGAGATATTTTAATGTGGTTGTATACCACCATTGTTATGTTTATTGATCTACAGACTGCATTCTTTTAAACCTCGATGCACTCTAGGCCTGGATGGTTCGTACATTCGTGGAACGATCACCCCGTCCGAAGTCCGTGGTCGAAGCTGTCATAGTATTTAAGACACTAAGACGGGTGCAATAACGGCGATCCGATCCCGTCTCTGGCGAATCTAGAGGGGTCGTAAGGACCCAGGCCGAATCTGACCGTCTATTTTTAGGGAAACGGGGTGGGTGAATTGACAACCGATGGCTTAAGAGGTAATGAGAAGAGATCCCGTCGTCGATTGCTGTTTGACAGACAACACATGTTGTACTGGACGTATGACCATCAGAGGTAATGCCTGAACGTAGGCAAGCATAATTGTTCTGTCATACTGTTTAGGAATATAAAATGGTAATGGAGATTATTGAGGATATGATCTCTACATTACAGGAATTCGCTAATTACTACGGCCCATAGGGGCACCGCCGGAGCTGTTGTTTTGCCATCGGTCCCAGGCAACTCCAGGGAGCTGCAGTACCCGGCGGCCAAAGCGGCCCACCTCGTCGACTCGCAGGTCCTGTGGGATTCCGTGATGCTTTAGTGCTTCACCCACAGAAGCACGGGCATAGCAGTAGGATGTGGGGCTAGGTGTCTGTCCACCTCTTCATTGAAAGAACAACGTATACAGCGCCTGGTCCCGCCGAAGCTCGGTATCGACCGTGACTTATTCACAACTGGCGGATCCAGGAAGCGGTCTTGGACACTGCGGGGGCTTACCCTAAAAAGGTTTCTCGGAATTAATTTAAAAAAAAAACTCTGATTTCGATTCCTTGCGCACTGCTGTGCAGTGTGATAAACCAACATTTCCTCAGAAAAGTTGTGAAGTTTTCTTTGATTCTCGAAAAGCGATTTCGGGCGCTGCCAATGTGGGGGAAGACATTTGCCCCAAATGCCTTCCCCTGGATCCGCCAGTGGGTTGCCCCACTCCGAGCTTGACTAAAACCATTTTCAAACCCCACCAGAAACCGATGGTAAGGTGAATTTAAATCCAATAACTCATCTCTGTCTGCCCGCCTAAATATGTATACAACACATGGTACGGCACCCGGCCCTGTCTGAGCTATGAGCCGATCGCGATATTTTCGGCTTTCCCCAACCCAAGCTCGATTAGGAACGTTCTCCTTCCCCACCCGATTGCTGATGTCAATTCAAATTCAATACCTCATCTCTGTCGGCCCGACCATAACCCATTCATTGCACACCGTTCAGCGCCCCGCCCCGCCAGAAGTATCCTAGCGCGCTGAGCAGTTGCCTCCAGCCGCGTCATCGCGAGGCCCCGCGCGGCCCATAAATTAATACATTGCGCGAATAGCCGTGTCGCCCCCCCTGGGCACAACAATTGCAATCGTTCCTTCTCCCGTCGCGAGGTCGCCCATCCGACCCATATCCCATGATTGTCAACCCTGGGGCTCAGGTCGGCAATGTACCGGCAAGGAATTCTTAGGTGCAAACAAGGCAAGCTTTAGGTGAGTAAAAAAGTTTTAAGAGTCATTAGGTGTCGTTACGTTCAGTAATAATAACTATACGGTGCCAAATATACCCGACGTACAGCTTGGAGCCGGGCGCCGCCCGGTCTCCACCAGTGACGTCACGCTAATGCTTAGCGACCGGTCCATTGGAAATCGCGGGATGATTCTACCTCTCTTATACGGCCTTGCCCACTGCAGTGTCTATTCCTGTCTGCCTCGACGGATGACAGCGCGCTGCCATGGTACGGCTCCGGCAGGGGAAACCACGGGGAAACGAAGTAGTCCGCCAGCTTATTTCTAGCGGCAGCTGCGTTGCGTGAGTGCACGTTTGCGCCCACCCGTCCTATGGTGAATGCCGGCCCCTGCGTGCTGGCGCCGTATCCTGCAGGCTGCAGACCGCCCTGGCCGTCGTCGTAGTCAGACTTGTGATCAGCTCAGTTGAGCCGGCTCAAAAATCAGCTCAGCTCATGAGCCGGCTCAACATTTTGCCAAATTGTTGAGCTGTGAGCTGAGCCGGCTCAGTAACGCATTGAGCTGAGCTGCTGTCTGAGCTGAGCTGAATGAGCTTGAGCTGAGCTGAGCTGAATGAGCTTGAGCTGAGCTGAGCTGAGCTGAGCGAGCTGAGCTGAGCTGATTGAGCTGAGCGAGCTGAGCTGAGCTGAGCTGAGCTGAGCTGATTGAGCTGAGCTGATTGAGCTGAGCTGAGCTGAGCTGAGCGAGCTGAGCTGAGCTGATTGAGCTGAGCTGATTTAGCTGAGCTGAGCTGATCCAGTTCTAATTCTTTTCAGTTCATGCTTGGAAATTAACTCAGGATTTGATGCTTCAGCTATGAGGCAATTACACTGCCTTCGTGATCGCACTTAAAAATATCAAAACTCTAAAGAAATCAATATTGATCACTAATCAAGCTTAATTTATTTCATCCATATTGTATGGAAATTGGAAGACCAGGGTCTTGGCCAATTTACAGGCTAATACAGCCAGTCTCCAGTTTCAAGTCTGACTGCAAGATGAATTTTTACTGTCAGGCTTTGATGCTTCGCCTTGACACTCTGCTCCGCAATGTACAATTCAGCATTCTTCACTTTGTTATTTAAGCAGTTATTTAAATTAATTTTATCAATAAGGGTTCTTACCTCTGCATAAAATATTTACAATTAGGAATTAGCAAATAATGTTCCTCTTCGTTGGTTGAATGTGGGCTAAGCAACCATATCCTATTGAAAGTGGGGTGGGGCAGAGGCGCTAACTAGAACTCTCACCTTCTGATGTCCATAATATGGGGAGTTCTCTATATACCGTGATATGGGGAAAGCTCCCTTATTCACACGCCGACTATGAATTCTAATTGTGTTGACATTGCCTTGGTTGAGATCAGGGTGGTGTTGGTTTCACTGATAACAGCACGCTGCTATCACACGTGTCAAATGGGGTTTCCATGGAGATATAAACAAACTCTTATCTCCAAGTTCCAACACTGACACTACCCCAAAATGTAACGTCAGCTCCTGGCAGGGTGCCAAGAGCGGATGGCGGCGTGGGCGTGCTGCTCTCGGCCGTGAAACACCGCCTAACTAGTTGAGATGATTCCATGGCGTTTTTTTCGTCTAGCAGATTTTCGTCCGCAGATTTTCGTCCGACTTTTCTTCGTCTGGCATTTTTTCGTCCGTACATTTTTTCGTCTGCAAACTTTTTCGTCCAGACTTTTTTCGTTCGTATATTTTGAACTTATATGTTATGTTAACATCGCGGATGCACACTCTGATAACATGTGATAACACTGCCAAGAACAGTCCATTTCATGTAACTATAGTCTGAGTCCAAGTAGACGCACGACTCGCAAAGTCTCAAGGTCTTAATGAGCTTATCTCTTTTGCCCATTGTGTAAGTTGCCTCGCTCCTAGTTAGAGGAGACTTACTTATGCGCCAACTCCGCCAAGAGTTGGTCTGTTTTTTAACCCTCGCCCGTATTGGTGTTTTTCCAGCCACGAACGTATAAGGGGGGGGGGGGTCCGTTGGACCCTCTCCCTTGCCGTTTCGCCCCTGATCGAGCTAGAGCTTCGCGGAAAAAACGAGCGTGCTGCCCGCGACGAGAAGAAGCCGATGATACCCAATTTTAAGGTCCTACGCTATCGGTTGACCTTCCAGGTCAGGTCAATGACCCAAAAGTCGGGAAAATCGGGACCTGTTAGAACGTCGTAAAACGTGGCTGCTATGGGGTTTTTCGGGGTGCTGATCACGAATATCATGTTAGTTATGATCACTGATGATGTCTTTATGCATTGAGGCCAGGTCGGGTCAGGTCAGGTCAACCAGTAAGGATTTTGCCGGGTATTCGTAGTAGCCTCTGACAGCTTCGTAACATGTTACGAAGGCACCAAAACTGCTTCGTAAATGTTCAAATGGTTGCTAAATTCGAATTCAGCTCCAAAAACTAGCCTAGAAACATGTAAAACTCGAAAAAGTGAACCGAGGTCATCAAAGGTCAATGACCTGACCTGACCTTCCGGTGACCTTGACACCCACCCTAATGCATGGGAGCAACATCATATCCCATGTTTGAACGCTTGAAACCACAAAAAGACTGCTAACGCGCGGCTAATGCGAGCCGACATACGCCGAATCGCGATTCCGGCCAAACATGGTCTCGAAAAGTAGGTCACAGGTCAAAGGTCATTAGGGTTAGGGTCATGAAATTTTCAGGATAGGTGTAAAATTGATTATCGCGAGGGTACTGAAAGTTTCGTCGCGATCGGCCGCTTTTTACGCGAGTTATTCGCGAAAAACAGAGGGGGTCCGTTCGGCCCCCCCCCCCCCTATACGGGCGAGGGTTAAGCATGTCCGTCGTCCGATTTAAAAAGAACGACTGAACGATCTAAGCGTGAATTTAACTGAGCGGAAACTGAGCTGAGCTGAATCGAGCGGAAACTGAACTGAGCTGAACGGGAACTGAGTTGAGCTGAGCTGAGCTGAGCGGAAACTGAGCTGAGCTGAGCTGAGCGGAAACTGAGCTGAGCTGAGCGGAAACTGAGCTGAGCTGAGCGGAAACTGAGCTGAGCTGAGCTGAGCGGAAACTGAGCTGAGCTGAGCTGAGCGGAAACTGAGCTGAGCTGAGCTGAGCGGAAACTGAGCTGAGCTGAGCTGAGCGGAAACTGAG